GTTACGACTAGTCCTCAAGTATTCGAGAAAGAAGAAAATTGTATACTTTCTTGTAGGTAATAGCAGTATCTACAACTTTCATTTGAAACATTTTTCGAAATTTTGACAAAAAAAAATTTTTGTATTTTTCTGAGATTTTTCCAAGGGGTACCCCTTCAATTTCTTCGAAATTTTCGTTTTTTGCCAATAACTCCCAAACCGGTGAAGATACGAGAAAATTGCATAAAACCTTTCTTGTAGAGTGGGACGAGATCTACAATTTCTGTATAAAAATGTTTCGCTAGCGTTAATAGTTTACGAGTAATTTGCAAAAAACTGGTTTTTCGTTTTTCGTTAATAACTCGTTAACTATCAACGCTAGCGAAAAACTTTTATATGGAAATTATAGATCTCGTCGTCCTCTACAAGAAAGGTCCTATACAATTTTCCCGTAGGTTCAAAGATTTAGGAGTTATTGAGGAAAAACGAAAATTTTTGTCAAAAGTTTGCTGATTCGACGGTGGAATGGTCGGATTTTGTCAGTACCCATAAAATGACGATTAATCGTACTTAACTCGTTACATACTCAAATTAGAAGAAAAATGCATTTAGAGGACGTCAGTGCCTACAATTTCTGTATAAAATTCTTTTCGCTAGCATCAATAGTAATCACCTCTCCCACTGATCGTCACTACCGTGCGCACACCGCGAATCCCTCGTCGCCTAAAAACATGAGAAATCAGAATGGATCTTTGCAGGTTACCGAGTGAAACAACAACGCAGAAATGCCTGTGGGTGGACGGGTGGCTGGCAAAGTCGGAATTTACAGCTCCCATTACAATGGTAATGTAAACAGGAATATTGCACCGTTACGTGTCACGCTTGGAGTAGTATCTACTAGCTAAATGCATAGTACAGCGTACACGCTTCGCACGTTTATTAACGTTTGATAATTGCTCGGTATTTGCATACCCTTGCGATTCGTAATCCTTTGCAGCTATAATTCTCCCATACCCATACGACGTTCAATGAATCGTAAATGCGCTTCAATTAATTTCAGTTCAACTACGTCTCGGGAGCATACTTTCCCTTATTATTTATTACATAATCTGATTCCAAACTATGAAAAAAATGGAAATATGAGGTCCTTTTCAGTATGGATGAATTCCAACAATCAGGACTATGCAGGGTGAGTCACGTGACGTTTGTACCT